GATCCTGGCGCAGGAATCGAAAACATCAACGCGCAAAACTCTTGAGGCGTTTTAGATAAATTTCAAAAATCCAAAGATGAACCGGAAGCACGAATGCCTCACTATCACGCGTGACCTGGCGCCCTATTTCAAAATGATATTTTGACCCCTGGGTGTGTCTTGCTCGTGAACGCACGTGAACAAAGCGTAGGGCAGTCCCACACATAACATCACGGTGAGTGGCCTTTCTGTTCAATATGGCGTCTATTTGAAAGTTTGATCTTCATTAATACTTTAACCTTCTTTTCCACCGAATAATAAAAAGTATTCTAACATAAAGTACGTCCAGGCTCTGAGGAAGGCGAAGTCGCCGAAACGTCAGCCATCGATCAATAACATCAAAAACAACGACAACGACAACGAAGATCTGTACCAACCTCACGTCAGCTTAAGAAGATCAGTTTATAAGATCACATAAAAAAATATATCAACTATCTATGCCGAGGTTTATAGAAAGTCGGTCTTTCGAGTTTTTGAGAACATTGTTTATGACATGCCCAAAGTTTCAGCTTCTAAGCAAAAGAAGGAAAAAGAGGAACACCGAATGACTTGATGTAAACAATTTTCGTTCGAACTTCTTCAACAGTTTTCGAAAATCCAAAAATTTTCCACTTATTCTTAGAAACCCGGAAAAGTCGCTGATCAAATAAAAAAACTCCTCTGCTTTTCGTTTCTATTAGACAGGGCTGGCACCCTAGTGGTAATGACGTTGTTTGAAGCAAATAAAGCGCTGCTTCCCACCGATTGTCCCACCCTTCGGGTCGGAAAACAGTTACCGCACATATTTGGAAAGCTATTTCATGAAGACTAATGACATCCTATTGAGAATACCTTGAAACTCACTAGCACGGCAATACTGCGATTCCAGAAACGGTCTACTCAATTAGAATTGAACATCGCTCATTAGGAAGATGGAAATCCTCAAGAACCACTTGACCACATGCAATAAATCTATTATCCTTCGTAGAGTATGGATTTAAGAATGTGCGAAATAGAAGTAAGAAAAGAACATGTGAATGAAGTAGACGATTTCAGGGAAACTATTTGATATTTGTAAAAACCCCTCTCTAATGCATTCACTTCTGCTTGATCTTCTTCCACCGGATCTCGATGTCTTTCCTTATTACTACGACATGAGTCTTTCTTCTCCATGAATGTGTTTTAATTGACACGTCTGGCCCCGTGGTTAGGGGTGCTCGTAACACAAACAATTCGTTGGTCCGTTCCGGCTTCTTCGGTTAAGCAGCATTACATCACTCCGAATCAGGGAAAATTGATATTGGAATTGGCTTGCGTGATGAAACGCTTACTCAATGAATTTGTTTGCCACTCCATATCATTTATTAGCTAGATTTATTGGTCACTTACGTCTAGGAGGCCTGACGAAGGGAATTATCAAGGTCGAACACTCTATCCAGTTTTCCTTATAGGGCACAAACTGCTAATGACAGCTGCGCAGTGAAGGAGAAAAGTGTTGAACTCTCTTATTACAGCAACTTAAAAAACCTACCTTAATAGTCTTTTGCTCTTCACCCGCACTGTTGGATTTTATCTTCGTAGTTGCGCTGTAACTGCTAGTATGCACCTTCACCATTATGTCTTTAATTTTGAAGATCGAAACGAACTCATCTTTAAAAGGATATGAGGTCGCCCAAATATTTTCCAAGGGTTTCAACGTCTCCGTATCCAATAAACAGATGGCTAGACATGTGACAAAGCCAATGAATAGATTATTTGGTTAATTTTTTTGCATGATACGTATTTCACATCTACTCTGAGGATCCCAGCACTCTCGCATTCGTTCCGTTTGAACAAATAAATGATAAAAAAACTGTAAAAAAACTGCACTGTAAAAATCCATCTGACTCACACTTTTCACGCAACGAATAGAATGGCTTCGTAGTTCTTTATTAAGTCCCAAGTTTATTTATTAAAATCACAATTCAACAGCGCTTTTAGATAACATTTACTCTGTGCGCTTAAGCACAAGTTGCATGGAGATTCAGCCTGACAATGAACAGCCGAGAAACATCTCTCTGGCTAAAAATTTGCAACTAGTCGAACCACAGCAGATTTCTCATCTTCACTTCTCAAGACAACATTACCGAAGTGATTCTCGCTGACGTCATTGTTGTCCCAAGTACATTGGCTGTCTTAACTCTTTTATTTACTGCCTTTTTCTTCTTAATGGCAGGGTATGTTGTGAAATATAACTCGTATGAAGTGCTGAGATATTTGCAAAACTCCAGACCACAGGTGTATGCAGTGGGGAACGAACACGCGCTGTTGTCCTTACCGCGGAGCAGCGCACTTCACCACTACCCGGATGGCACGGTCTTGCTGGTCTTCCACTTAGTAGTGACCTCGCAATCAGACAGGCAACGTGTGAAGAGCCGAGTCGGTGTGTTTGCGAGGACTGGCAGAAGATTCTTCAGCTGTTCTGATCTTGTCCTCTCCGGACCTGGTGCTGCTCGACCTTTCACCGACGAAATGGCATTTTGGATTTCGAAAGGTAGAACCGGTGCTACAATATCCATCATCCTTTATTTTATATGAGGGAAGGAGGACGTGGCCATTGAAGAGATCTGAATAGTATTCGTGAATGATTTTCTTCATTGCTTTCTGGGCGCTGTAACTGTTCCTTCTAGACGCCGGAGTGCAATCATTTTGGTCTTGTAATTGGCGAGGCTTCGGTGGGCTTTGCGAATGCTTTTCCTAGCCTCCGCAGCTTCGACCATTACTGCTGCTCTTCTGGAATATGTAGATTCTGAGCGACCCGTCATCGAAAATCGTCCGCGATTCCGTGATTATGAGGAGAGTCGTTCTTGTTTCTAGCAATCATGACTGCATAGTGAACGTTTTTGGCATACTTAGAATACGTTCATTGTAATAGTTCCCAGGATCGACTTTCTCTTAACCTCGGCATTGGGATATGAACGAGTTGACGAGTCGTCAACCACATGCGACTATAATCAGCTGTTCCGAACTTCCTCACTGGAAGTCACGAAAAAGCGGCTCTGAAGAAGGCGGTACTGCCGAAACGTCAGGTAGTGTTGTATTGTATTGTTTTTCTATGGAAGTAAATGTATGCTGTTTAAAAACTTCGAGATTGCTGAGCAAGAAAACGACACATTCATTGTAATCGTTTTGCTTTCATAGCAGCATCCGTTTTTTATAACTCTGTTGTTTTTTCGTTCTATAAAAAGCCTTTTCCTTTCTTCCACCTGGTTGAGCTCTTTACGTATCGTCTCTGCTTCGTTGATACTGATTAATTTGACGGCATCACTGATATAACGAAGGTTTGGTGGGAATTTTCTACAAACCCAAATGGCGCGCTCGAGATTATCAAACTAGTTCTTTCTAGCTGATAAGTGCAGGACAAGGCGATAGCGGTCTTTTCAGTTGATTTCTACAGCCTTGTTTGCGGATTGAACATGGTCTATATAAAAGGTTCGTGTTAGAAGCGAATAAAATCTATGTGCGGAGGTAATAATCAGTGAGGAGCTTAAAGGTGTATTTGTAAATTATAGGACGACACAAAATTTCCTACTAATTTTGCTTCAACCTGTATTATCACCTGTTTTAGTTTTTTTGCTGTCTGATGCAAGTTGAGCTTTTTTCTCATTTGAGCAGCTTGCAATTAGAAATCGGATTCAAATTTTTGATTGAGGAACTGAGATGTACGCGGTACTGCTTTGTAGTTTTTTGAAGAGCGCTGTTACTGGCTTAACCATTCTATTAAGGAGAACTAGTGATTAGTAATGTTGCAGTGTAGTGATCTTATATCTTAATGAAGACGGCAAAGGGAGTTAATACGACTGTTTTTTCTTCCCCGTGATCGCCTAATCGATCGGTCTGGTTGTTTGGTGGCCCTCTTGAGACATCTTAAGAAGGTCAGCTCTACAGGCTTTCTTTAAAAGTTTCCTATGCTACTTGAACGGCGATGATACGCGAAACATGCGGCCTCAGCCAAAGAAAAGCCACCATGCTGGATTCTCTCTTTGTCGTATGAAGTGGTTGCCCTAATACCTGCGTTAATACTCCTTTTATTTCGTTGTCTTACGTATCCCTCTCTTTCAAAGACGCGTCTGGGTTTCACTGAACCTCTTCCAAAAGATAAAAATATCTAGGAAGACTTCGACTTAGAGGAATCTTCTAATCAATTGCTTTTCTGGCCATAAGCAAGTGGGCTATGCTATGTGATAAACCTAGATTTCATGGAAAAATTTCTTCTGAAATAATGCGTAGTGCCAACATTGTGAAATTAATGCGCAAAAGAAGGATAAATTCCAAGGCAAAAAAGCGATTGCAAATGTAAATAAGGAAACTGGAAACAAGGAAAGCATCCAAGTTCTGGTTGATCTCCTTTCGGCATTGCTCAGTGAAGACCTGCAGCGGCAGCCAAGCAGGGTTTACGCCATCACCATGACAACGATTGCTCTCAAAGACCACGGCCATCGACTGATCCTGAAAAACAACGTGCTGCCAGACATATTAATGTTTAATTTTTTGTACTTCAAATGTTGCAAACAAAAATCGGTTGTTATTTGTGAAGCGCCAGCACGTCTCGAAAATGTTTGCATTCAGTTGCACTTCTGTCAGCTATTACTATTCATGCATTAGCAACTGATGGCACCCGTGACAGACAACGGCTCGAATCCGCGATATCCACCCAATCTAGTTAATGAGGTTAACAAGTTCTTATGCTTCTTCTTTAGTTTTTTATTTGTGCACAAAAATCTGTGCTTCGTTTTTTTTTCGAATTCATTAGAATATTCCTCTATAAGTTTACAAATACTTCGAATAGACAGATCATAAAAAACCGGCAAGTGGTCCAATAATTCGAGGAGATTCCTCTTCTTAGGTAAAATAATGCACATCGTTACATGTACTGCTGACAATACATAAACAAATGTTTTGCGGAAAAATTGGAAGCTTAAGAGGGATTTTCAACTGGTTTTATGCGATCCTCGAAGTTCTACCTTGAAGCATTCAACCCAAAGGCCAAACACGAACACGTCATTGCTTCCCGAGCGTACGTTATACAAAAATTTAGCTAGTAATCCAATACTGAATCGGCTCTAAAAATTATTAGTAGAGACTTGGCAGCGTTTAGTTCAAGGTTCACCTTTCCATTGAAGATCTTCGAAGAACCCATGCGTTCAGAGTCGGTGGTCCATTACAATTTGCGTGCATGGCCGCCGATCCGAACCCAGACTTTAGGCCAGCCATGTCCTCCATTCCGCTGGAGTCGGCAGAATGATCATGGATATGTCTCAAAGGATACAAATATTAGGTTTGTGTATCGATGATTCCCGCAATCCATTGTGGAGGCTAAATGCGCATTAAATTTCTCCTGAATTGTTTAGTGGAGTCGAATCTCGGGCACAACGTCTTTTCTCCCTTTGTTTTTTTTCTAACACGTTTCGCAAAACTTTTAGCCATTCATAAAACACCTCAACTTGAAGCAATGCTCAGCAGTTTATGCGCCCTTTACAAGTCTCCATTACTTGGCGTGTCATTCGTTCAGAACTCTGAATGGCAGCGACTTAAAGAAAAATGAAGCATTGGAGTAGTGGAAAGCACGTAACAATTTCGAAAGTTCCATGTGCGCTTGTCAGAGTAATTTTTGTACTTGCAGAACTCCATTGTACCTCAGTCAAAAACAGAAACCCGTGGCCATAAAATTGTCATCGATCAGTCGAAAAAAGAGATCTTCAACATCCATTCCGGTCTTCGAGGGATTCACCGACGGCTTAAAAGTGTATGGACAGTTGAGACGTGAGTTCTAACTACACAACTCCAGTAAAGTCGTCTTAATTTTCCATTCTAACTGTGCTTGTGTGAAAGATTCGAGTGGTGGTCATAAAGAGTTTATGAAGGGGAGAAACATTTCTCTATATTTCTTCGTACAATTCACCCATGCAAATAAAAAAAATTCATGACCATAGCTTTAAATATCCTCCCCACTCAGGAACTCAGACGAAATCACCGACGGCATGTTTGAGGGAGTTGCCGCGTTCATCTTGCCAAGTCCAAGAGCGAAACTGAACATTTCTGAGGTATCCTTAGAACGTATTTATAGCCTTAGTAAAATCTGAAGTCAAGAGGTAAGTGTCTTGTTGAATATCCTTAAGCAACTTTACATGAAAAGGTTCATAGGCTTTTTCTGGTAGTTTTTTTTCTTTTGGGTATATCGTCGTTATGAACTTCTGTTCAAATCATGTCTGCTACTTCGTGTTCATTCCTGGTTTTCTTCTAAAATATTACTGCTCTTTGTTTTTTTTCCCTTAAAACAATGTGTTTTATTTCCGGTATCGCTATTGGTCTCGGTTATTATTTTGAAAATCTCACTTCAGATGGAGGCCATCCGTAACTTCATTACGAATGGAGGCGCTGTAATGGTGCTTCTTTCTGAGGGTGGAGAACAACAAACTGGCACCAACATTAACTTTCTACTTGAAGAGTTCGGGATCGTGGGCAACAGTGGTAAAACCATGCAATATAAAAATATGGAAATTCGACACCATGCTTTATGCATACACATTCTGTTAAAGGTCGAACACTCAAAATCTTCGTAAATAAAAGTGCATTTCTAAAATACAGCTTTCTGAGAAACATGGAGGAAAAGTAGCCATATATTTGACCTCGCAAAGTCCTTTAAGATTCATTAGAAAAGCTGCTCATTTTTATCTTTAGCACGCTAGACGATTTAAATCATGAGTTGATGTGGGATCACAAAGAAGAGTGCACACATTTGTAGCGACAATATTTCAACAGTGTTTCAATTAAGACAAGAAACAAAGCAGTGATTTACTGTCGGAGCACACGAGATATTTAGTAGTGCTGAAACTCGAGAAGTTGCTTGTTCGGCCGTCTCATAGGCTAACCAAAGCCTGCTTTATCGTCTTGAAGTTAATCAGTTATCACAGTAGAATGTGAATGTCTGAACTACAATAAAGCGCTGTTCGTCCAGAGTAAGAAACAATTTTATAGTTGGTCGTCCTGTGAAGTCCCAACTACAAAATCATGTATTCCTTGGTATCATCTCAACCTTCGCAATGTTTACCATCTCTATCTTAAGAATTTCAATTTGAATTTTTGTTTATTTCAGATGCTGTCATTCGAAGCATTTTCTACAAGTACTTTGATCCAAAGGAAGCTCTCATTTCTAATGGCGTTTTGAACAGAAGCATAGCTGTAGCTGCAAAGAAAACTGTCACAAATGAACAGCACGGTAACTCACAGTAAGTGACTTTTTTCTTGCTTGATTTTCACAGCAACTCTTTAACTAACTTGCATGCAACTGCAGGGTTATATATCAATGAAAGATTTTAGTTCTTATGAAGATCAACGGCCCTTCCATCAACTCTGAGGCGCTTATTTCTGTATGCTGCTTTTTCACGTTTATTTGCTGACAATTATAAAGCACATGTCACTGGGTTTCACCATCAGGTTTTCAAGCGATTAAGGAGGAGCAATAAGGAATTTACAGCATAGGAAGTTAAACTCGTCGTTAGAGAATGTAACGAATTGAGCCGGCGAAAAGGTTTCTATCACCACTAGGTTCGCAAGTTAACGCTTTCGTTCACAGCAGTTTTTAACCCAATACACAAAGAGCTGTGTTTCAAAAACTAGTGGTTTCACAGCAACAATTTCCGTGTCGCTGGAAGACAAACAGCTGGTTAGTCCGGCGTCGGCACCGTTGCCTCCCATTTACATCCTGGCCTGTTAATCTGGAAAAATTTTTGGATCGCTTATTCATAATGACGTTGGAAAAAAGGGTTTATCATGAGTTACGAAATGCTTTTAAGAATGCACAATATGAAGGGTTGTGTAATGACTCTCTTAAGCTTCTTTATGTTCAAATGGTTGAGAAAAGATTTCTTTCACAGTTCAAGGGTGAGCAAGTTTGCAACTATAGACTCAATTCTGTTGCTTGAGAGCCAGCAACTGAAAGCCTTATCCTGCCCAACCTTGCAACGATTACTTCGTTGTTGTGTGACAAGCACAGATATGTGGATGTATACAATGTTCCATAGCTCACTGAATTGTGTAAGATCAAATGGGCAGATTTTTACGAGAACTAGTTTCCCCTTTTTCTTTTTTAAACTATAGAGTCATTTGAGGGTACGCGTAAACGCAATCAGGCTTTGATTGTTGTCGTTCTCAGTAAAGATAAAAATCTATAAGTGAAGCTTAATGAATCCAGAATTCACATGGTGGTGGAAGAGCAGGCTATAGCATAAAACTTTCTAACTAAAAAGCTCTCTTTTGCCTTGCACTTTATCGCCGTTGAATGTGCGCAAATGGAAGAGGAATCCTAGAATCTTGTATTGGAGAGTTTAGTTGCAGCGACATTGATTGCTGCCGCACATTTGGATTATTAGAAATATTATAATAGGCCAAAAAAAGATTTTGCATGATTTTGCACAGTTTGCCAAATCGTTCGCAAACAGTCTGAAGATGTTCTGGTTGACATTCCTGTGGATTGAAGATCTCCAAGATGAAAACAGCAAATTTCCGCGCATTACGACATTTCCATTCGAGAAGATGGATAACTGAGGAAGACCTGGCTCGACACGAAGGCGAAGCTGCAACGTCGAGACGAACAACAATCATGGACCATCGACTCGGATCATCGGCTCTGAGGAAGACGAAGACGTCGAAACGTTAGCCGAAAATAAACATCATTATCAACCTCGTGTAAGCTCATCAAAGAAAGAATACATATTGATTAGTGATACCGAGGTTCATGGAAAGTCGGTTTCGAAATATTACTACGCTTTGTGCTAGCAGTATTTAATGTTCAAGGGAAGGGAAGTCGTGGTCGGATCAGACCCGGCGTCCAAGTTTTGCGAATATTTCTGCATCGTTGAGGCTGATTTTGCGTAAAGTCCATTTAATCCAGTTCGAAAAATTGAAAAAACTGTACATTAACGGAAATTTACGTCATCAGCATTTATAAATTCTAGTTTTCGTAGTACAAGGCTCAACTCGCGCTGCACTTGTTGTTGGCTACCCGAATCGTTTTGACGGAAATTTTTAATTATATGGTTCGAAAATAATGCACAATGGATACAAAATATATCATCCCCAGCTCGCATCGTGTTTGAAAGGTTTTCCCTCTGAGCCATTTCTTTCTCGAAGTTTTTGCTTCTTATTATAACCATGTCTATGACATATTCAATATTAGATTCAATTTACTTCGAACAGTTTTCGGCATACTTTGCCCTCTAATAAAGAAACCTTTGAGGTTCGGTTTCTCTAGAAATCTTCGACATAGAGCTTTAAATTTCGCTACTGACATTTAGTTGCTTTGCAAAGAAATTAAACAAGGTTGATTCAAGCGTGCTCGTCTTGGATTTATGCCGCTGGGCTCTAAGTGTACAGTATTCTCAGAACGATATCATTCGTGTACCCATTCGGCGCGTCACTCTCGGTCAATCGTCTGGCCACTCCGGTGCTGTCCACAGGAAGTGCCTGCCTCCCTATCGGACGACCAGTGGTCGCCTTCCACGAAAGCGAGGTTTTGTCTTCTTCCTTGATTGCATTAGTTTGTTTTTAGCTATTTCAATAGTGTTGTCTTGAAACATATTAGACATTAACTCAATTAGCTGATAGCTGATTACCACATCGTCACAAATTGGCAACAAAGATTTGCTTTTCAATAGATTCTTCTAGATGATCGAAGTGGGCTTTGTTTCCGCATTCGATTTTTGCGATTCTTTTTGGATATTTCTTCATATCCAGGTTTCTCGAGGAAGACTAGCCGTATGCGGATCCGTGCACATGTTTTGCGACCAGTACATCGACAAGGAGGAGAATAGCAAACTATTTGTCAGTTTCCGTAATTTCTTAGTTTCCACTCTTACAACTCATCACCGTTAAGAATTTTCACTCAACAGATTGAGGGAAGTAGTCTTTCTTAAAAACAACGGATAAGCCAACAATATTGGTTAAACTGCCTACCTAAAGAGAGTACTGAATTCTGAGATTCTTTTGTGCCGTTAGAAATAAATTTTTGTTCTTCAGCGAAGTTTGATGCTTCTTCTCTAATGCCTGAATAATACGCTGTACATCACAATCTATCGATGGTATTTTATTCCACTTCTATTTTACTATCGATGTTTCACTCTAGGATGCCATTATGGAGTTCCTTCTTGAGGGATATGAGTTGAACAAAATCGACGCGACTGAGCCGGAACTTTCTGACTACGTCCAAATTCCCGACCACGTGCAGCTCTCCGAAGAACTGAAGGTACTCTCGTAGACCTACCCCGTTATTCTCCTTTTTCCTTTCTTAAAGCAGATGTTTAGCCATGTTAAATTTTTTACTCTCTTTTAAACTCTTATTTGACGCGAATTCACATGTCGTTTGGATAGCAGTAGTTCCTCATTCGGTTCCGTGTCACACCTAATACATCGTTCCCAGTTCTTCACTACAGCTAGTCGGTAGTTTTGTAGACTGGAAGGAACTCTTGATAGACAAGCCTAGAAACAGTTTGTCGACATCGAAAGAATGAGAGGTTTTATTAGTCCGACACGGGGTCGAACTACTGCTTTTACGAGCATTGCATAGGATCCCACTGCGCCTTCCGCACTCATAATACTAATAATAATAATGATAAATTACAAGAATCATAGTATATAGAAGTGGTGAAAAAAATATCTATAAAAACGATGGTAGCTTTAATGGGACCCATAAAAATACCAAAATGACTGAACACACTACCTCGAGAATAGGTTCAGTTGTAGTTCCTGTAGTTCCTAATCTACATGTCCTCTTATCTGTGAACTGAGATATTCTAGTTTTTAAGACAGTTGTAGTTTCCACACCACTGTCGTCTTCAGAGGCCCTTCGATACTAATCGAGTGTCCATAAGATGAATTGTCTATCGATGACAAATGACTAATCTTCCTGTACATATACATTCTCTTCCAAAAAAAAAAGATTGGCAGCATGCTCAAGCAAAGTGCTATTATAACGGCAATATAACATTTCCAACATCTCAAGCCCTGTTTCCAGCATTTTCTTCGCTGTGTATTTTTTTATGACTCCGCTTCGTTGCATGACTTGCCACTGGTCGGTTTAGCAGAAAAAAACGGTTTCAATATTCGGGTATCTTTCTATAACGAGATAGGTAAATAGGACTCTCAAGTAGCTTGAGAATGGGTTCAGTTGTAGTTCCTGAAGGAAACACAGGATTTCTTGGCTTCAAAGATATGTTATGGATACGTTCAGTTTAGGTGTGCATGCAAGAAGCAGATTTCGACGTCTCCGTAGCAGCGGACTTCATGAAGTATTTCGATCAATCCATGACTTCTTTCGATCTCAACGTCTGGCCGAAAGTTCTCAGGTTGATTTCGTTTTTTTTTTTTACCAAAGAAATGTGCCTTACTAGATATAGAATAATTTTCTCGTTGGATTATTTTCTCTTTCTGATCAAGTGCCAACGCTAGTAAGTGCTTCACTCTGGATTTCGTCATACAGCTTTTTGGTTTCACTTTCTCCCTATAACATTCTCCACATTCGTAACAGTGCTGGTTTCCCGAAAACAGATAACTTCTTCGTTGACAAAGTAGTACAGGAGAAGTGACCTTTAAGAATTTTCACGGGAGACTTTGCTGTGTCGTTTTAATCGTATGTATAATTTTATCAAATAAAGTTTCGACTTTAAATATACCAATGCTGCTATCCTTCCAAACAAGTCTAGTACCAGTTCGCCGATCTCGTAGGTATGGAAGACTTAGTAAGCCTGGACGTGGGAATCGATTCCAAGGGTGTCGCAGTGCGTCTCCGACCACTGCGCCCCACGCGCCCTCGACTTTAAATGCGTTCAGAAAATATCTAGATGGAATTGCTGAAAACGCATTTTCATTGTTCACAGTTTCTCACACAAGACTGGTAGCTGCACAGGTCAATGATGCATTGGCGAATACCACATGTCTTTTTAGATGGAATACCACTTCAACTGTATTCGTTTTCGGAATGAAGAAAGCCCTTATGAAAAAAAAAGTGAAAAAAATGCATCATGGGCCACAATATTTGGGATTTCAGACCTTCATCTTGACAGAAATGAAAGACTTTTGCCTTGTTGTAGAAGTTCTATGGGTTCTAATGTTGGCAGTTGCAATTAACAAAGTTTAGTATACGCTGAGACGTACTGGTTTAGTTGAAATTGAACCACGTGGCTTCTATGAGTTCTTGTCGTCGGGAATGTGTTAATGCTGCGGATAACTTCGCCACAAAAGAAAAACTCTGTTTTCACTTTTTAATCGCTAGGTTATCATTAGTATGCAACATCTTTATTGCCTGTACACTACTTTATCACCGAACTAGTCGAGTTGGTGCATTTGCTCGAAGCGTGCGAGCCAGGCGTCCTTGTGGTTTTTAGTAGCTCAAGAGACACAAGAGTAAACTTGTTGTTTTTGTTCAGTGTTCTCGTACAAAAGGCTAACCTATGAATCAGTGGTTCCTAATCCTGATATCTTTGTGAGAAAATCGTTGGCGACTTCTACATAGCTGTTGTCGTTCAGATGCATGCCATGTCCTACCTAATTTTTACCATCCGAGAAACATCACCTAAAGTCTACAGTGGTTGAGGGAACTGCGCATATTCTGGATAACTTCTACAAAATAATGTATGTAAACAATGCTTTTTCATGTTTGCGTCCGAAAACTGTAAAACATTGAACACATTACGTATTTAAATTATTTAGCTTACACGAAGTCGCTATACAACTTTTATTTGGCGAACATCTAGTCGTCCTCGTCGTCCTTAGAGCCAATGATTTGGGTCGATGTCCATAGCTCTTCTTACTCATTTTTTCGTCGCCGTATCAAGACGGGTCTTCTTCATTGGAGCACTTTTCAAATGAGGCAATCCTCAACAATGCTCTTTTATACAGCGCTGTTCTCATCGAGGTGATTGTGTGGTGATAATAACTTGCTTTTTCTTAACAATCTATCCTGCTGAAGTCGGTATCATTATCAAAAGTTGGTCTGATCCAATTAGAACTTTGGGTTAACATAGGCAACTGTTAGGCTAGACCTTCGTTTACGATGATGTAGTTAATTTCATTGTTGTACATTCGACCAGGAGGCTCCCTTTCGACCATAGAGAGTGGGTAATTTGGAATTGTGAGCTACCACGAATATAATGTCATGACAAACTCAGACAGCCGCTCGCTGTGCTCGTTTCATTCTAATCCGTAAGTCCAAATCTGACGTTTTTGAGGCGTTTTTTAGGTCCATCGTACAGCTAAATTCTCCAACGACAGGAAGGAATGTATGGTCTCCTCTCTAAGTCTTTTCCAAGTTTAAACAGAACGTCTCTACTTCGTCTTCATCATAGCTTGATGCCGAAGTGTTGAACTGACTCGTAGAATACAACCCACATAAACGAGAATACACCCACGCATGCTTGCATGATCATGTCCTCGTAGGCATAGAAGGAATGTGTCCAATTGGCACAGCAGAAAGAAGGAGACAACTCCCTCAGTTGCCGAATAATCTATATTTATGAATCGACACTGGGCTTTATGTATTAGATATCTATAATTTGGAATACTATGCAGAAATATTTTTGTTAAGGGCGTATGAACAGCTTCAAGTGAAGACTGAACCACTGACGCTAATCGTGCCTCAATTTGAACTACCACTTCCACCCCTACTTCCAGCAGTGAGGTTTTAACTTATCCAAGTAAAGGTCATTTTGATTGACCTCAATGATCTTAATCGAATATAAATTTCTGTTGACTAGGTGCAAATTTAAGTGGCTCGTTTGCATGTCTCACATTTGCAGGAGGAGGAAACCGAGCTTGATCATTTCTTAATAATCCAAGTTCCATTTCTATATCATCTATGCTGTTCTTCATTTTCCTCTAAAAACAGGGGTCATCGTAAAGTTAACTTTTCTGTTTACTGCGTACTGTAGACCTTTGTAGTTCAACTTCAGTTTTAGTTGAGATTCCAACAGGTTTCCTGCAAAGTGAATGGCATATCTTTTGTGTTCCAGGTCTATCCACCGAGTTTTCGTGAACTACCACCTCCAAAGCTGGAACTCTTCGATTTGGACGAAATGTTCAGCAGCGAGGAAGTCCGTCTAGCTCAACTCACCAACAAATGTGTGAAAACGACAAACTTTAAAACCTTTTGTCTTCAAAGGTTATTTGTAGAAGGACAACTACGACGTCACGGTTATTTGTTGTAGGCGAAGAAACAGATCTGGAGTTCTACATCAATGAGGCGGGCGAGATCCTCGGTATTGGGGCCGGTATTCCACCAAGTGAACGCACTCCGAAGAGAATCCTCGAACATGCTTTGGCTCAATTATTTGAATTCAAGAAATTGGGACAGGTTAGAAGGAAAAACGTTAGCGCTTTCCAATTTCGTGCCATTGAGATATTTACGCCTTCATTAGTCCGTCCACATCTTCAGCCATGCTGCATTTTAATTTGTATTCCAAGAGCATTTCCAAACGATTTCTAAATTTTTCTGAGTCCTATTTTGCCATAAGGATAGAAAAATTGAAGCATTCATTACCGCAAGTCTCAATACCTTTTGAAGAAATGTCTTTACAGTGCATCCATCATGTATGCATGTTTTTAGCCTTCACTCGTGTATTTCAGGACGGAGACGTTGCTGACGCGTTCATGTACGACAACGTTGAAGAACAAGAAGAACAATTCTCCGACATCGGGGATTACGATGATCTTTAGTTGTATTTGAACACGAAGCTGTCAAAATGAACGACTGGGGAGGTCGTGGATTCAAGCCATAGGGATATGAATAATTATGGACGAAGTATTGCTTTTCTAGTCTTTTTTCTTGGAAAAAGCATGGATTATGGTCTGAATTTACTAAACTATCAAAGTCCTACTCAACAATAAAATATCCGTCGCATCTGATGATTATGACTGCTTTGCAACTAGTAGTGCATGAATTCCATCCCGTTAGAAGAATGATGCGTTGGGAAGCAAAGAATCACTGCACGACGAATTTCTACTTTAATCAGTTCTTTGAAGTTTTTTCCGCAAAGAAAGAATGATGAGAGTAAGAAGGTGTCGAAAGAATAAAGTGAGAGCTAATGTTCTCCATGTCATGTCCACGACATTCTCGTAATAGTCATTTGCCTTCGAGACGCTAATGCTGGTTTATGAAATCAAGGATGTAGAATTTTCCGTTGAAGGAGGAGTGGTCCTCAAGAAATATTTGTGTCCAATCAAATAACTCGGAGTTGCTCTTTTTTCGAGATTTTCCTTGTAGTGGACATTGTTTCAAGTTCTACAATATATCACGTGAGGTCTTGTTCTATTTCAACCAACCCTAAATTCAACACAGAAATATTCTACGAATACTGTATACCATCGCTGTTGAACTGAATAGCTGCAGAAAGCAGTGAAACCTAGAGTGTAATTTGTTGGGTGTTGATCAACTCCCTAGTATCCGTATCTGCCACACATTCGGTTCCATTGAACATCATCTACAAAGGCGATTGATGGAATGAGATTATAGAATCTATTGAATCATTTGAATCAGTTTATTACAGCTTTATTTTCAGACAGCTTTATTACCAGTTTTCGATCCTTCATGAAATGGAACACTGGACTGGTCCGGTTTCCAGGATTGAAAAACATACAGCATATGTATCGTAGGGCGGTTCCAACAGCTGCACTGCACGGGCCCACATATGGCAATAACGACTTACAACACCTTTTCTATAAAGGTTTTTCAATTTGAAAGAAGTTCCAAACCTTTTTCCTTGACCATGTAAGACAAAGTAGCATTCGGAACTTCCCGTATTACCATAGTGATGTGGCCTTCTTCTACTTCAGCTCTTTGATAACAATTTAATTCAGTTCATTGACTTAAAAAGTTGTCAAGCAACCGTTGGCAACGTTCTAACTGTGTCATTAAATAATGAAGAACTGGCAACAAGAGTGTGAAACTTTGCTGCCGGTTGTCAGTTGAAGAACTCCAGCTACTTCTAGTGAATAGGAATGATGTCACTCTTAGGCAGAAATGAAATAGTAGCTGGGATCATCAGAGTATTGGATTACCTGTTGCAGGCAGTTTGTTAAATGAACGGACTGAAGTCTTTCTGGTTGTGCTGTTTGTAAAATGTTATTCGTTAAACTAACCTTGTTCCACGATCCTGGATTTTGATAGCTCAAAGGTAAAATGAGCACAGCTTATATTTGCTTTGCCTCAGACACACATATGGACACACCATTGCTCGAAAATATCTCATATTTATTAAATTGTAAAGCTTAAAAAATTTCGAATGTAACTACTGTGTTTTATCTAACTCCGGTTTTCGTGACTGTTTCGAGAACGGACGTAGCCAGAGAATCTAGGTAAGAAACATTGAATAGGGGTTGAGTACAATTTGTAGCACTACGTATGCTAAGCAACTAACTCTTTTCGGCTCATCTCTCCTTTTTTCTTCTTTCTTTGTATGCTCCTCTTTCTTTTTATCCGCCTTAATATTTTTTTTGTTTCCACCCGACTTTTTGTGCTCCACGGTTCCATCGGCTCGTTGTGTCGAACGAGATGACACTTAAAGTTGCTAAGAAATTAGGAATGACGTTTTCTTCTATTACAATGAGGTAGTTCAATGTGACTACTCATTCAATAGTATTAAATACAAAGAAGATACATACAAGCGCTTTGAGTTGTTTTTTCTTCCCTTTCTTCCTTCAAGCTAATGATTGTTCGCTGAGGTGGTGAATGAGCAACAGGAGGCTTTTGTGCCTGAGCTGCTGTGTCACTGTGGTCCACCAGCTGCTGAACACGCTTGGACTTTGGACGAAAGTCGAAAACTGGCGTTTAATAGAGAGGTAATGGAGCCGATAAAGTACAAAGATGGAAGGAATGAACGAACCATGATTTGCTCGGGGTAACGTGTTCGTTGCTCTTTTAATGCTTGATTCACAGCATCATTTATATTCACAAACATCCGATTCTTAGGTACTTTTTGATAGAAATCGGTAGTTTCGAAAAGTTGGCGTACCGCTGCTAAAATTCAAAGCTACAAATTCTTTTCGTTATCGTTTTTAATATCTTTAGCACTTAACACAGGAGCATATCCTCTTTAATAAAACCACCTTTACAATTTGCCATTAAAACTGTAATGTCAATGGTGGAATAGTCGGCATAAGTTTGAGCGAGAGCGTCTTTACCCATCAAATCCACATAGGGAATCGTCGAGCAATCTGAGCGTCGCTTAATTAAGCATGGTAGACAAAGTTGATCAAGAAAGTGTTTGAACAATGTATCCATTGAAAAGAATAGAGTAGATGATACGGAGCACAAACTTAAATGCAGGTATGCATTTCAAGGGGTGGACAAACTGTGAACAATAACAGGTTGTCCGATCAGGCTACGGCTCCAGGTACTACTCTCTTCACCTAGTTGACTTGCCGCCGGATGGCATTCTACTGGTGTAACGGTTTCGTATTACCAATGTGATTTCGGGGCTTAGTCATAATGTGATGGTTTCTCAAATTCTCTGAGATCCCAGAAAGCAATTGAACGCACATCGGTATGGCAATACTCGCAGAGAATGGCTGATATGAATAGCACAATTTTTCCTTTGGAAGAGCGTCCCCAACGATTTCCGCGCAGTGGTTTTTTAACCATTTTAGCCGGCGTGGAAGCAACTAATGGTGAAACCCTCATAGCTACCCTTGCAGATTAGAACTATTAATACTATAAAGCATCTGTCGTCTCCTCCCATTTAAGAGTATTTCTGTATGCGTCAATTGTGTTACCTATTATTATGTGAGTAAGCTGCGTGACGACGTGCTCGGCCTGATCTTCCTTCACTGAATCATAAGATGCATCTGCTACCCGACGGCCAACCAAACGTAACTCTGAAGTATTTGTTTGTTACTTCATGAATTCTTAAACAGATAGGCAATTATCTACAATATAGTCATTCTGTCCTAGTAATGTCATTCTGCTTCATAGTCTTCCCATAAGTCCTTTCGTTGCAAACAGTTCTTGAAGTAAGGAAACGAAACTGTAGAAAAAAGTTTGTAAAGCAAACTAAACTTAATAGCCATTAGTTCCAAAATTCGCATACGAAAGGCAACGCAATGATTGGAATAAGATCAATAAGATTGATAGGAATCGAGGAATATATTTCAGATTTCAATCAATTATTACTACCGCCCTACTTGAGTAATTGGCCGAAGTGCCAGTTTGTTTTACCGTTAACTATCAGTGATATTGCTTGACTATATTTATTTGAAGAGATATTTGAGCAATCGCGTCATCTGCTATTCCATACAACGGTCTTCCAACTCCTTTAATGTTGACGAAAACATGATTATACTTAGCCACGCCGTATGTTGGACGAGGTACTCACTGCATTGAAGTGGAACAGTAACAAGTATAGGATGTACTTACGCATATCGCCGGATGCCCTTGAACCGTCCCTCGGCTCACCCAACGACGATTTAGTCTTCGTCTTCTCGGCAGCAGAACGCTCATTCAGCTTCGATTTCACTGCAAATCGTTTTAAAACAGCCTGCGGTTGAATAGGATCATACCGGTAGAAAGGTGTTACCGAGAACTGGGTTAAGTCCACAAGCATTATACACACTGAGAATAAACAGTTCGGCATTGGCAAAGTAAAGCGGAGCATCAAAACGAAAGACCTTTATTCCTGAAATATGCTCTGCAATCTAGGTGAAGACGAAACTACCACCAAAGCTTCGGCTAAGGTTTTTGGGCAATATTTTTGTCTAACTACTATTTTAAGCCGGTCATAGGAGGTATTGAACTTTCAGGCTTACTTTTAAAGAAAAAAACCCACCTGGGATTTCTTCTGCACTTCGGTAATGTCCCAACCCTTTAAAATCAGATGTTCCAGGTATTCGACCCATACACGTACTATCCGCCCTGAAACGCCTCATAGTTATGGTGATTAGCTCATGGACAGATTTGGAAGAAAAAACAAACATACCACTGCGTTCGAAAGACAACGGACAAAAGAGCGAATGATATGCCAATGATCAGGCCATTGTTTACGTTTATTAAAATTACCGCGACAAGCGTAACGAGAAATATCATCTTAAAAAAAAATAAACCAGACGACTTAAAGAAACGATCCGCATGCTGGAGTGTTAACGGATGAGTAGCTCGATAAGAAACGCGCATTTTTGGCAAGCGGACATCGCAAGATTGAAGTAGCTTTCAAGTAAGCTAATTGTTTTCTTTTAATTTTATATTGTGTGAGCAGACACCACACCTACTGTGTGTAGATCCCAACACTTCTCACAATCGATTTCTACCCGTTAATACATCATCTGCGATAATTCTGGAGTTTTGTGTGTAGGTTCTCCGGTTGAAGATTTTAGTTCTCTTATGGCTTGGATGGAACTCTTGGGAGCCAATTCTGACACCAATTTCCGTGCCCAAGAAGAAGAAGGTAGGATTTAACAAGCCTGTAGCGAGGTTGATGCAGTTTCTTTCGTGCACTGAGCGGGATTACTACCTATGCGATGTTCAAGTCCACGCCCATAACTTATAGCTACAGGTTACTTTCAATGAAAACTAGTATTTGGTCAATAATCATGAAGAATTATTGAACGCATGATTACTCTCGAGATCTGCTAACTTTGTGATGAGTTCCTACGACTGAAAAGATCCGATGAAAAATTGCTGTCTACACCAATTTTTGGAGTTTTCTTTATTCTTAGGAGTTTTTCTTAATCCTAGCCGTATATTTTATCTCAGGTTTTAACGTCTGTTTTAGCAAAGTATAACGCTTAACGCTGTTGCTGCATAATAGACTGCTTTAAGTGCCGCGTGAAAAAATCATCCACTCAAATGATCCGTCGCTTTCACAAAAATAGCTTTAAAGTGGACCATTAGAGGTCTGATTAAAGTCGAGGTGAACATGGTCAGCCCATATAGCCGTAGGTTTCAGTACTATTCGCCTTCTCTCTTAGGCTGGATTAGAATGCTGGTTTCCCGAGTCTTGGTGATTCTGTTCTGTGATGACAAATTCTCCAAGGTATATATACTTTAATACTTGGATGGCCCGTTTTCACTGCTTGCGCGGGCCTCAGCTAATCTCCATTTTTCAGAGATTTCTTGGCATAGCTATTGTGGCTGTCCGGAATGCCGAGGTCAACCAGACCAAAACTCGCCCAAGTCATCGCCACCACAGGCAGTCGCAGCTCTTGTAGATCAGGAAGAGATTTGTCACCATGCGACTTCAATACCAAAACGGTGATGGGTCCTGGTATTGGTTTACTGTTAGCTAGGCTTCCTTATGGAAACGCTGGACTCCTCAGCTTGGGAGACCCTGCCAGGGGGATGAACCCCACTGCTGTACATCGCAGTCCAACACTCAGGAACACCTCCCTGCCACGATAAGGTGGTAAACTGTTGGGAGGAATGTATATATTTCTAATGTAAATGTATGTATATCCCGTTTGCACACAAAAGAAAAAACTCAGCTGCGATGAAACAGTAAATCGCTACGATGTATGTCATTATATCTCTTCTGTCGTTAAAGGTGGCTACTGACCCATGAACTCATTCCCTTTAACACTAAGCCTGCGTGTATTCACCGATCTAATGTGAAACATTTCTACGTGTTCCCTTTATATTGAGCAACACCTTTTCACTCCTTCAACGCTTCTTCCTCTTGTTACTATTTTTCTCCTAAAATATCTTTGTATTATGCTACTATACTGCCTGTGCGCATGTATTGGCCTCATCATGGAGCTATACCTGTAGCAAGTTTAATTACCCAAGCTTCGGATCCCTAGCAAACATGCACCTTGATCACATTTCTCTTCAAATAATTCATTTGTATTTGTCTCGTAATATGTGGAAAACTTTCTGATAGAAAGGCCTGATGACACCTACGAAATCCACAATACTTTCTTTGCAAAGGAACAATCCGCGGACGAGCTGAATGAAAAGATCTTTCATGGCAATGACTATTATCGATGCAAGAACGGCCTGAAATTAAGCTTTTTAATCTAACGTTTTCCCAATTTTTCCAAATCTTCCCTGTCCTAGTGTAGTATTGACCAGTCGAATGGGCCCCAGCATCGTTTGAGTTTGAGAAATATTTTGTTCGCTTTATAGAAGGGAATATTCCATGCCCCCAACTCATCATCACTAGCATTCGCCCGCATTTGCGAATCGGTGAAAACTAGTACTTACCCACCTGCTTAACCACATTCTAGCTCACTTCATAAACACTCAAATGTTCCTAGAACGTCTACGTAACGCGTCCCCTAACAATGCGTACGTGACGGAGTCCTTCGACGTTTCTGCGCATTACACCAACGTAACGAATGACCCCATAATACAAACCATCTTGGACCTTCATGTTGAACATAAAGAAAGAATAAATATGCATGGCTTGTCCATCCAGTAGCCTATGGCTCTTTTAAAAAAGTTCCTAAATTGCTTTCAGATGGTCTGGGAAATATTTCGCGCAAATAAGGGGGTTGGCAATGGAACAGCGACTGGCACCAAGCCTTGCCACTGTGTTTATGTCTAAGATAGAAGCCTCTGTTCTCGATCTCCGGCCACTACTCTACTGCAGATATGTAGATGATTGTTTTGTCATCTTCTCTACGCAGGAAGAAATGGACAAATGCTTTGAATTACTGAACGAGCAGTCTGAGTGCATAAAGTTAACCTTGGAGAAACCGAGAAAAAACTGGCTTCCGTTTAAAAAAGGTTAAAAAAACCTATCAAGTAGCGGCTACTTTACAAAATAGTACCGAAAGCCAAGTAACAAGAACATCCTCGTTCATTTCCTTTCTTCCCACCCTTCACACACAAAGAGGGCGAATGTGAGAAACACGTTTCGAACAGCCACCTCTGCGCCCACAACCAGGGAACTAAAGGAAGAATCGCGCGACTAGGCTCGGCAAATAGCCATCTCCAATGGCTACGAAGCAGCAACCTCACCAGATAAGTTTAGAAGGAGAGCGACGCGCCCAAGCGAAACACTTGGCCAAAAGAAGGTCCTGTTTATGTTGCCTTTTATTAGCGAAGAAGTAAGCGTAGCTATAAAACGATGCTTAAGAAGGGCAGGTCTAGAGTAATCGGTAGCGATAGTTGAAATACCACCGGCTACTCTACGTCGTCAATTAGTTTTTAACCGCCTGTGTGACCGTCTATGTGAAACACAAAACTGCGTAATCTGCCGTTATGGCAGGAAGGTGACTGCATGAGTTCAGGTACGATATACCCTGATCTCTTGTGGTACTTGTGGAGACGAACATATTGGCGAAACGGGCAGACCTTCATGTATTCGCATAAAAGAACACCTAGATGGCAAACGAAAAGGAAAACAAGGCATGCCACTAGGGACGCATATGGCAGAAAAGCATAGCGGAGGCGATTTTGATGTAAAAGTCGCTATCCTCGCACGGGTCCCTAAAACACCAGTGCACAAACTCCTCGAGGCTTTTGGATAAATGCCAAAAATCCTACATTGAATAGCATGGAGGAATGCCCCGACATCACACGTGATCTCGCCCCGTACCTTCGTATCGATCGTTGATCTGGAGAGGTGCAGTCGTCAGCCATGTGCGACACTGTTCAGCGGATCTTCCTCAGCGGAAGGCACGTGAAAACGGTGGGTTTTTTAAGAAGGCGTAGATCTTGTAATTCTCGATCAGGTTTTCATTTTTCTGTTTGTTCTGTTGAAGCATTTGACCTAGTCAGTTGCGTATTAGTGTACCTTTCGAGGCTCTGAAGAAGGTGATTCTGCCGAAACGTCAGCTACGGTTGTGTTGTATGTGTGTCATTGTATGAAAATAAAAGTACGCTGTTTAGCAACCTCGCCATTGCTGAGAGAGAAAACGACGAAAACGATTCAGTTTTTGGGACGGCAGATGGTAATGTTCCAGAGTGAATCTTTGCCGTTTGTTGTTGCTACACTTACGTGAAAACTATAAACATATGCATGTCGCTCTTATGAATTGCAAAACTTAGACCGAAACAAATTTAAAGCGTGGAAAACAGTAGAGCTTCCATTGCCTTCTTTGTACCCTTTCCCACCCTATTTTTCATCTTTGACATTCTATTTTCCTTTTTATCATTGAACTTCAGACTGTCACATCTCTCTTAATTGCAGCTTACCTTAGGTAAATGGTAGATGAATGACCCAGCACCGAAAACCACCCCAACCATGATACTGCAACAGACAACCGTCGACATCTGCAACAGTAAAACAGAATGCCACCTACAGTACAAGACAGCACTACAGGAAACATTATAGCCTCATCAGGGCAATAACACAGCTCAAAAAAAGCAACACATATTATTGATTAGTTCTCCACGAAGATCAATATGCAAACGCTCCACATGAGAACACAGCGTTTGCAACCGTGCACATTTAATTATGCCTAAGTCTAACGGCTCCAAGCAAGACAAAATGCGAACCTGGCTTTTAGTACCAAATTTCACTTGCATCATGGTTCGGCCGAGTGAAGAACCACCAGCAAAGCAACCAAATAGGCAAGCTATCGAATTCATTGCGCCGAGGGCAAACCATTCCTTAAATAGATCACATCCACACTACATTTGCCCAATGTTAGTCTTCGGTCAGAAATTATGAAGGCACTTTATTAATTTGCTACCGAGATTTGTATTCGCTTTATAATAACACAAAGTTTATTACTATGTGTTGGAGCAAAATGCCATTCACTATCCTCAGCTTAACTGGGTTCAATGCCAATTTGTGCTAAACCTAGATCAATACCGTGGATAGGTGATTGCTGAAGGCACTGGCAGAAAGAAAATTAGCTGAGAGAAAGGGCGAAATGAAGGACCTGCATGGTATTGTGATGAACGTGTTAGCCTCCGGAAAAGGTAGTAGCGTGTTCGATCCCAACCGCATGGATCTGTGGTCCGGAGTTTTGTAATCTCACCATCACTGTGGCTGAATTTCACATAATACCCTACCGTTTGACAGAAGCGGATACTGAGGGGGCGCGTGTGACGTAGTGGTTGAAGGCACCCTGCGACACACACGTAGAATCGATTTCCGTGTCCATGGCCCACCAAACCTTCCATCCCTCCGGGGTCGGCAAATCGGAACCAAACTTGTCTGGGAGGATAGCAGCACTGGCTCAATACATCGGTAGGCTACTGCGAGCCATTGTAAAGGTCAGATATGCATTGAATCACCTCTAAACGAAGTTTAATGAGGTTGAATGCATGACGTATCCTTCGGGGATTGATCAACGCCGACAGCTCTATCCTTTTATCCTTTACTTTACCGTGAAAAGTTGTATCAGGCAGCAAATAAGAAGCTAATATTATTACTATTGCTTCCTTTTACAACAGTATCGAAATAAATTTTCATGAACCACTGTCAACGATGCGAAGCGTAACTCGCACACTAATGACTGTTAACTGTGCTACTGGCCTAGCAGATAAGCAATTAATCAGTGAAAACCATTTTTCCGCTAGTAATTCAATATCGAATTATCTACAGAGGCCACTATTTCATTGGAGTCATTCAAAGATGGAAACATAGTAGTGGATCCATCCATCACAGCTCATTACCTGATTTGCGTCTACCTCATAGTTCAGTTTCCTTGAGATGAGCTTCGCGAGAGCAATATGAATAACAAAAGAAATAATTGCGATGGTAATGGCATGCCAGACCAGTTCATCGGCACGTGCAAGAGACGGCATTCGTGGAGGCGGAAACCCGGACTCCACCTGAAAGCACCGGCACAGAAATCATGCGCAGTGTTTATGCGACTGTATAGTAGCATTGGAAAGCTGATGAGAATGATGAGGTTGAATGGAATGGTAGGTGCAACTGAGCTGACTGATGGTGTGCCTTCGTGCGAAGTTACAAACAGTGCAACGACCGAATACGTACCTGACCAACGATGGGAACATCAATGTGTAAATGAGTGCCATTGGCAAGAGAAACCATTATTATTGAGGATGTGATCTTCAATAGCCAATCAAGATGATGATGTTAAAAAGACAAATCCTACTCTTGCTTATTTGCTTCTTGTTAAAAACAGTACTACATACCAGCACGAATTCCATTGGAAACTTCACATTTGTCCAATTTTTAAGAATGGGGTCTATAAAATAGTTGGACAACAGCAATAGAAAAATTGCTGTAACCGAGATCACGGCGCTTGGAATCTTGATCGTGTGCAATCTTTTAAAAAAACAGAGGTAAAACTGAAATTGAAAGTATTAGTCCACCTTCTAGAAGGTCAGTAATATGGGCTGGGTAAATGGAAGAGGTGCTGTGCTATATTGGACTAATGGCTGTTCAGTTATTAAATTTACATTTTACGAATTGTCAGAGTTATTAACCATAATGTTACTAAGATATCTGTAAAGCTCCGGAACGTTGGTGTTTGCGGTGGAGACCGAACACGCTATTACCCATTCCGGGAGCTAACGTGTTCACCACCGCACTATGAGAGTACTTCGTTTCGCTTGTCTCTCAGCCACTGCGTTATATTTCACATAATGCCCTGCCATGCAAAAAAACTCGCATGGTGTGGTGAGGAACGCGTCAGCCCCGTAAAGGGTAATAACGTGTTCGTTCCCCACCACAGACACCAGCGAGCCGGAATTTTGCAAAGATCTCAGCAATTTTAGCTTATTATTTACTGCCTACTATTTTTCACTGCAGGGTATATATTGCGAAATATAACTTCAATGATGCTGAGATATTTGGAAAACTCCAGACCACAGGTGTCTGTGGTGGGGAACGAACGCGCTATTGTCCTTTCCGGGGAGTAATGCGTTCACCACCACACCATGTGGGTCCTTCGTTTCGCCTGTCTCAATCTCGCTGACGGGTGATTGCTGATGGCAAAAGATCGATAGAACTAGCTGGGAAATAGGCGAAACGAAGGACCGCAGACACCTGTTAGTCGCCCGGAGTTTTACAAATATTTCAGAATCATTGAAGTTATATTTCAGCAATATTATACTTATCTTTCACATAGTATCTTCGCATTAAAAAAAGTAAAAGGCAGTAAATGAAAGCTGACGACATTGTCTTAGTCATTCTGTTAACCTAAGAAATATATCTGCTGTGATCGGTACCCATGATTATCATACCCGCCCTGCCTCCTGATTTCCAGTCCCCGCAGCATTTCACACTCACGTTCACGGAGCGCAGTGAGCAATGAGATCAACGCGTGCTGTCCGTTGCACCCCACTTCAAAAAATGATTATATTCCCGTTTTGCGTTTTTACTTTCATAATTCGATTTTCTATTAACTATTCGCTGCTCTCTGTGTTTTTTAAAAATATTCTACATGTCTTTATGCGACGCACCGCGATGTGTCGAAGCGTCGATGGACATATCCAGGACAGATATTTTAATACCCACAACCTCTCGCCATTCATTTAGTCAGTTCTTCTGTTTTTGATCCATTTCTGTAGCTTGCATTTCTGCAGTTTACATGGGAATAAAGCTGTAAAATCATTGCATACCTTAATCAACCCAAAGGCTTCGCTTGTAGGTGGCACTCCATCAATGCCTGTCATCGACTTTAATTGAGATGTTAACACATGGACAGCTGCTCCAGATGTTAACCCTAAATTTTCAAAGAGATTTTCGAAGCTTCAGAAAGCCAACTGAAGTGAGTAATTGCAGATGGGGAATATCTGGTATGGCAAGAACTTAGCAGTATTTGGAAGCAACGTCTACAGGAGACACGTCAGTGGCAAAGAACAGGGTATTTCTTATCTTTTAACTTCTTCATTCACTAATAAGCAAGTAATGACAATAATTGCTGTTGTAAACCATATGAATACGAGAGTATGAGGCAGGCATATGACCTGTGCTAGCTCGTAAGCAATGTGCCTTCAGTGTCAACAGCGGAGAGTGTCTATCTCCGCAATGCGCAGACTGCGCAATGAATACGAAGCAAATTAAATAGAAAAAAGAGTCTCAGATTTGCATCTGGCAGGCCATATTCGCTATAAGAGCAACTTGTCATCTTACTGTGGGCCTTATCAGCTAAATTTTAACTTTTATTTGTCGTCAAGGCCCTTTCTCCCAGCTAGTCTTTTACTTCGACGTGCTATCATTAATCGCCTAATGTTCACTAGTGTATAGGGCAGTGCTGCTTTTACGCTATGGAACAAAAAGATACTGCAGAATCGTGGGAAAGCGAGTGAGATCAAATAGACGAATACGCATTTGAAAAGTTGAAGACCCTTCTCCACGAAGACCCGTGACTGCCCCAACACATTTTCCATCTGACTGTTACCACCATGAGAGTTCATGTCTAAAGTTCCGAAGACTCGTGACAAAGCTTTTCCAGAAAGGCACGACAAAGGTTGCTTGATCTATGTGGATTGATGGAGAGATTGAACACGTCTACTCCAGAGTGGAAAAATTCGTGGTATTTAATTATTAAAAGAGCTATATGAACACCATTTCAACTTATTATTTACTGCCTACTCTTTTTAACGGCAGGGTATTCATTGTGAAATATAACTTCAACGATGTTGAGATATTTGCAAAACTCCGGACCGCAGTTGTATGCGGTGGGATTCGTCCTCCCGGCAAGGTCTCTCAAGCTGAGAATGAGTCCGACGTTTTCACCAGGAAGCCTAGCTAACAGTAAACCAATACCAGGATGAACCAGCGTCCTGGTATTAAAGTGCCATGGTGGCAAATCTCTCTCCGATCCACAAGGGCTGCGGCTGCCTGTGGTGGTGAAGACCTGGGGCAGACTTTGACCAGGCTGATTTCGGGATTCCAAGGAACCGCAATGGGTAAACCAACAAATCTCCGAAAAAGTGGACACACAGCTAGTGAGGGCGGGCCATCTAAGTATCAAAGTGAATAAGTTAACATGTTGAGCCATTCGATAGAATGCCTTCGGGAAGAGTGACCACATGTAAATCAACTGATATTAGTATGTGTTCAGGAAGGAAAAGAGAGCTTTAGAGCTTTATCTTTTATCCTTATTCCACTTCTCAGAACAACACGTGTAACTGCGAACCATCGACATGTATAAATCCAAGCTATTCGATCAGAGATAGTTCGCTCCAATCTACCATGTGCTGTCAATCAAGGACTTAAAGCAAGAATTAAATCTACGTGAATTCTCAAACAAACCTTGAACAAGGTGATCTGAAAGCCATACCGCTAGAATACCGGCGTTTAGAAGGCCGAAGAAAATCTGTAAGGATTGGTTCAACTCTCGTCTTATAAAAGCAGCAAATTCCTCTATTTATACCTGCCAAAGACCGATGAGAAGTGTTACCGATGTCGCGACGTCAACAGCTTTTTCAGGTGACACCGTTGAAGCGGTTGTCTTACAACATATTGAAGCAACGTCCGTGATGTTCGATGCAGCTAAATAGTACTGACAGTTGTTCGCTTACTTGCTGACTGACTAAAAAAGCCTTGACATCCCTCTCAGATTGTTTTCACAGATAGGCTGATCCGCTAGATGTTAGGTTTCGGTGAAACGTGGTTCTTCTCGTGGAATCTCCGCGCAACTCGACCATTCTCATCCGCTGTTACTGTTTAGAAAACATTTGAGGCGATCTAATCTTTTCTTTACGTTAACACTTTAAGGTCTTCTGCATCTCTGCATCTTCTGCACTTTTGCATGTCTATTTGAACACTTGGATGGTCTCTTTCCACGAATCGTGTACAATCGTGCACACTGCAGCACTGTATTCACTAATTTGTTGGTTGACCATGATTTTCTCCCAAAGGAAAGCCGTTCTCACCAGTTTCTCGGAACGAAACCTACTTTGTTATCCTAATGGCCGTGAATCTTGGCATTGCTTTACCCTTTTCTGTACTTCAAGATGGTATTGTCGAGTCTTTTATTATGCTGAGAAAAGATGCTGAGGATGGATTCGCACACTGTGCAACGCTACAGAATGACGCCCAGGAACATCCGTGTTCCTTTTCCCATTTCCAGGATATGGCAAGTCATTGGAGGTCATTTCCTTGTTGGAGAAAGAAGCTATGTATCTTACGTTCAACTCTTAAACACTCACTTTGGGTCTCCTTGTCGGCTCCAAACTCTTCTACAACACTACCAACCATGAGTGCTACTATTGCAAAACACCCTGTAAGTTTGGCTACGTCACTAAATGTTTAACTTTTATTCACTGCTTGTTTTTATTTTATGGTGAAATATTATGTAAAATACAACCACAAGGATGCTGTGACATAATCAAAACTCGAAGCCTCAAATCAGCTTCGAACCGGGGTTACCATTTTCATTTTTAGAGGTTCACGTGTCTTCTCGATGACTGATGATTATTGACAGCACCTATGGCGTTAAAAAATAGCCGAGGGAAAGGCAAAACAAGAGGCTCGATTGCTACAGTGGATAGCCCGTGATCCCACGGAAAAGGTCTTCGTGGATTTCAGGGCCATCTGGTGGTTAGCGTTTTGATCTTGTCTTAACATCCTTGCACCGTACTGAAGGTTTTGGCGCATTTAGTTTTTTACAAGAGACTTCAAGAAAATACCTGGCGATGTATGCTTTGAAGTACCAAAGATAGTATAAATAATTGGACCAAAAATAGTAGTAATTAATCCATAAATAGGTGGAACACCTACTAAATATCCATATGCGAGGGCTGGAATGGAATTATCCTGTGATATAAGATGCTTAAAAAACTAAAGCTTACACTTGTTCATCCAACCCTACCTTGCGTTTTAGGCATTACTATGTCATAAAAGCCGCTTAGCGCACATCTCATAGACGGTAAAACGATTCCTACCTTGAGGAAGCGACATAATAGACAACATCATCCCTCCAATGATATCAGCTCGCAAGTCCCCTTTCCAGTTGTACATAGGTAACCACTTCGTAATTGGCACGCGACCCATCCAAAAATGGGCCCAGTCGCTTATCCGCCACTTCAGCACCTGCAGCTTAAGCTACTAAAAATGTGCGCTTTCATTGCAGGAAGAACTGTAAGCGAAAATTAACTGTTTTATGAAATTGGGACACACCAGCTGTATGACATATAGGGTAGGTACGTGACTTTAGAACAGACAAATAATCAGATCGTCAGACACTGTTTAACCCGAATTTCTCAACACTATGTGAGGTTATCCACAATTTTACATACTTTAATATGATTTTCTAGAAAAAGTTCACAACGTCAACACCACTAGCACATTGAAGAATATGACGCTTCAGATACCCTTTGTGTAAAACATTCCATCGTCGTTTCATACCATTTCCATCTGGGCATATCAAAGTGCACTTCTAGTTAAAGTTCTACTCAAAAATCATTTATAAATATAGTGTTAACTAAAAATAAATTTGAATCATTTCTACTTTTCGGTTCGCACTTTCTGACAGGAGCACTGCTGAACTGAGATCGCTTTTCAAAAGAATGAGTAGAGAACACATTGCAGGAAGTGAGATCCCACTTGCACCGTTTTGAGAAGAAAATGATCGACCCTCTCGCACTGCTTTCTGTAGTACTACACAGATCCATATGCATACTGCACAATACTCAGAGCCTGCAGTGGGCACATAACCGTTGATTAAACCTATCGGTTTGACTAAGCCAGACCCTTTATTTCTCTGGAGTCGACAAATTGGCACCAGGTCGTTTTGGGAAAAAATGGCACTTGTAGATACTTTTGTATGTACTATCTTATGGATATAAACTATGCAAGTTATTTTGTAGATCTAATATAGATTGAATCACCTCTGCTATGCTTGGTGGGTTTATGTGCGTGGAGCATTCATGAGGGTTTCTTCAACACAAAACTCTTTATTCTTCAAAACAGATTTGAACCCTATTTTTAAGACACTGGTTCTCATTTTAAGTGTTTCTATTATTTTCTACGCATGTCTTCCATTTTTATTCGAACGAGTAATTAGCCGCTGAATTGATTATTTCAACTAGAAATCCCATCCACAGAGAACTCAAATGGCTGACGATGGCTAGGAACACTACGTAGAAGGCAGGTAGAAGACAAAAATCCGATCTCACGAGCCTTTGCTATCACCTCTCAACTAAGAGGCTTCGATCGTCTACAGAAGTCTTCCAATAAAACACATCTATCGATCTCTCGCTATTACCAACATCGCTCCCAATCTTAACACCAATGAAATTCAACATGGAGAGAGCTTACACTGGTGGTGAGCTAATTTTGGAACAGTTTTTACAATGGTTACTTTTTGTAGTAATTCACTACAGTTATTGTTAAACTACAATCATGTTAAGAGCAGCGTGCAGTGCAGTGGTTAGAGATGTTCTGCAATACACACTGCACAGTCTCTAGTTCAATTCCGCACCATGAGCTCATCAATCCTTTTTACGTTTTTTCACTATGTTATTATTTTTACGTTATTATTGTTTTTATTACTAAAAATTGCGTTTTTTATTGCTTTTTTTAGTCGCCGGATATAACAACTTTAAATTACACTTGGTAATACGCAGAACAGCTGATCGCTCTAGAAAGAGAGCATGCCTTAAGTGTTTGGAATCAATGATGATGATTTCATGACAACCAGTGTATGATGCACTAAGTCGATAGTCATCACATGGACTTTGTAGGTAACTGTCGGCCATAACCAAGTTTTGATCTGACACAACATTGTCATAAGTGTACCTGCTTAAAATGCCAATGCAACTTCCTTCCCAGTGTTAAATCCACTCTACGGTACCCATAGTGCTTATCAAAGAGCTCCTGAAAAGAAAGGTTGACTAACGATTTTTTCAAGAACTCAAGCATTATCATCGTAATGTTTGAGTGAAATTCCCCTTCTTGTGTCCAATTCCTCTTTCCTGTTGTTTCCCATGTTCATTGATTGCCCAAGTACACAGTACGAAGTGGTTCCTGTAATCAGAGAGCCACCCAGTTCAATTTGTTCGCCTTGGCATCATACGTTTTTCATGAACTGGGTCTTTTTTCAATTTATGAGCAGTCTGATCGCCGCTTCGTTGAGCTCACTGATCACGAAAGTTTGATAGGAATTTTCCGTCAATACGTATGCCTTTCTCATCCCAATCGAGTGGCTTCATTATCTACTCAAATGCGGCACTAAACGGTCTTGACGATATGTCGCCCTGTCGAATCAGTCGAATCACTTTTTCTATGGGTGTGGTAAAAGGTCAATGGAAAAGCTGTATCTTCCTAGTGCACTTCCGATAATAATTAGGCAGATTTCTTGTGTAGGACGGGTCCAATCTTTGGTCGACGAGCGCTGATAGGATTGCGTTCGTTTCGACACTGTCAAACGCTTTTTCGTAGTCGACAAAGATGTTTTGCAAGGTGATCGCATGGAACTTTCTGGCATTATACGTGCAGAATAAGAAGCAGTCCTCATGGCGAGTCGTGCACGTGTTCGCCAGATCCGGTTCCAGTGACGTCCTCCGTAACTTTAGATTTTTTGTTTTTCACTGATTGCCTCACCGCTTGACGTCATAGAGAGCTACCCAGTGTGCGAGGTACGGAGGCTGCTCTAATGCTGTTTGAGCAGTTTGATCCTCCCTGTAGGCCCTACTTAACCTTGTAAGAGCGGATCCGAAGCAAGTATCAAAAGATATATTTAGCCTCTGTAATCAGAAAACCATCTCGTTCGATTTGCTTGCCTTCGCACCATGGGTTGGTTCCTCACGAACTGAGTCTTCGTAATCGAGCGACCTCATTAACCACTGTAATGCAATAGTAAACAACTTTGGCGACTTTATGTCGATTTCGAAACCGACCTTCCCTAAACCTCGGTGTGATTAATCAATATGTATTCTTTCTTGATAAGCTTACACGAGGTTGATAAATATATTTATTTTCGGCTAACGTTTCGACGTCTTCGTCTTCCTCAGAGCCGGCGATCCGAGTCGATGGTCCATGCTTGTTGTTCGCCTCGACGTTGCGTCTTCGCCTTCCTGTCGAGCCAGATCTTCCTCAGCGAGCCATCTTCTCGAATGAGGCATCCTCACTCAGTGATGCCCTTTTATACACGATGCTGATGGTGGATATGTAATGACAATGTCCGGTGGTAACAACTTGTATTTCTTCCAGACATACATCACTGCGCACATCGTGCAGAGCATGGACCATCGACTCGGATCGCCGGCTCTGAGGAAGACGAAGACGTCGAAACGTTAGCCGAAAATAAATATATTTATCAACCTCGTGTAAGCTTATCAAGAAAGAATACATATTTATGTCGATTTGTTGAATCCTTTTTCCTACAGGCGTGGTAAGGCATCGACCTATGGAAATGCTGTATTTCTGTGCCAGATCAAATTCTGATAACAGATAAGCTATTCCTTGTATACAACAGATCCACTCCTTCGTCAACTAGAATAAATATGAAGCAAATAACACTCCCCAAAGAATGCTACAACCCGTTCTCCGGTTTGGATGTGGTCCATGCAGAGGAATCCCTGAGTACATTCTGATTGCTTAACTAGTCGCACCGCATCCGTCTTCTATAAGGGATAGCCATCGTGAACAGTTTGTAGAGTATAATCAAAGGGCAAACTGGACCGCACGGTGGTTGCACAGATCTTTTGGTCACCCATCTTGGGCAGGATGACCATGTTCATTGATATTCTCTACTGGTTTGGGATTTTCTCCTTCGCAAGGTAAGATGTCATATGCATTGTAAAAAGTACACATAATTTGTGAACTCTAACTCGAAGGAAGTGTGCCGTAATATTTGCATTTCATAAAACACTGCATTTCCTCATGCTTTATATCGCACCTTGAACTTTGGAATGGAATCTTAGCGGTTTTTCTCTAGCGTGAATTTCGGTATCTGCTACACTGACTATGGAGCATAAAACGCTGGCATACCCCAAACAATTCACCTCCTCATCGTCGCTGGAAAGTGTTTCTGGGTGTCGAGCTGCGATGTACACCGAGGGGATGGCAGCGTCTCCCAAGATGAGGTGGTCGGCGTTTCCATTAGGAAGCCTGAGAGTAAACCGTTACCAGGATCCATCACCGTCTTGGCATCACACTAGTCGCATGTTTGCAAATTTTCCTCTGATCCACAAGGACGACGACTGACGACTGTGGTGTTCACAATCCGAGGCAGACTTCGGCCTGGTTGACCTCGAGACTCCAAGCAACCACAATGGCTAAACCAGCAAAACTCCGAAAAAATGTAGATTGTGCTGAAACCGGCACAACTAGTGAGGACGGGTCATCTAAGTATCTATGTAAGTAAGTAAAAACCTGATGTGGAAGTCTATTGTTATCAATTCCATACCGCTGCGTGACTTGGTGGTAGTCCCATCTCCGTTCGTCAGGGTCGACAGTGAACATTATAGTCGCAAAGATCACGACAGCATCTTCGGGCTAATTGGTTTTCGAGCCCTTCCAATAATAGTTTTCCTCTATATTAGCGCAAATCTTCCTGCTAAGATCTTGTACAGCTGGTTGTTATTACTATTCGTTTTAGTTGTGTTGCAGTAAGATCGAAATTCAGAATCTTTCCTTTTTCCAGCAAGTCCTTACTCACAACGGAGATGAGCTCTGAACTTTTTGTTCGCTGAACTGAGGCCGGTTAGGCGTAGGTTTTAAGTTTTTTAAGAACCATCGTGTATTCCTCGATCTGTTTAGTATTTATCTGTCAGTCACATGGGAGGAGAATTTTATTGATAATGTCCTCGCCATAGCCGACTTGCTCTCTTTCTCTTGCCCGAATACAGTTTTTTTCCAGCTTATGACTGAATCGAATTTCGCA